AGTGGTGCTGTGGCTCAAGTGGTAGAGTGCTACCCTTGAGCAAAAGCAGCTCAGGAAAAGCACCTGTATCCTGAGTTCAAACCAAAGGACCAGCAAAACAAAAAGTCTGCTCATTTAAATTAGTCAATGCTTCCCCTGCAATTTAAAAGACAAACTTACAAGTGACATAAGTTCACTTTCAATAGTATTGTCCTCGTTTCCAGAGAGTTCAGGGACCACACACAGAAGAGACCCTAGCCCTCTGCTGTCATTTATAAACTAGCTGTTGTACAACAGTAAGCATCAACACATACATTTCTGCCTTTATTATTTTGAATACAAAGGGATTTGTAAGGGTTGGTAAAAATAAATGAAGGAAACCCTTCCTTTTCACCTATTTGTTGTGATCGTAATGGATCTATTTTGCTGTGCACTCAAGTCCCACACTTGTCATTTGAGTTATCATAGAATTTCTTTTCTTCTTAGGACACACACATTCACACAGATCCTGAAGAATTTTTACTACTTCATCTAACAATGTTTTACTACCAATTCTTCTAGTCCACAAGCAATTGTCTTATCTACATAGGACAAGACTATTACATTAGGTCACTGACTTCCCTGACAGGTCCCTGTGTCAACAGTCAGCCCTGCAGGAAACACGTGTACACCTGGGCCCATGCTGCAAGTGTCATGCTGTGCTGGTGGACTGAGGGGTAGCACATACCCTGCTCTGGGCTTCTCACTCCTGTCCCAAGGGGCTTGCCTGGTTGGCCGGTTGCATGAAGACTTTGCCAGAGCCCTCCTCTACTCAGCTGGCTCCTTACCAAATTTTTCTTTCCTGTACCTTCCACTTTGAGTTCTGGCATAGACCATGAGCCCAACCAACTTCCACAACATCAGATGAAGTCTCCACATCAAACCTTTGGTAACAAACATTTAAGTTAGAATGCACATACAATGTTTTGGCCGGTGTTTTTGGGTCTGGTCGGGGGCCTGAACTCTGGGCCTGGGCGCTGTCCCTCAGCTCTTCAGCTCAAAACCAGCACTCTACCACTTGAGCCACTTCCGGCTTTTTCTTTTTGCTTATGTGGTGCTAAGGAATTGAACCCAGGGCCTCATGCATACAAGGCAAGTGCTCTACCACTGAGCCACCCACCCAGCCCCAAGGCCAGTTTCTTAATGTTTGTAGTAGTTAAGGTTCAAACCTTGGGCCTCACCCATGTAAAGCACGTGCTTTACTCCTGAGCCACCATCCCCATCTCTAGAGTAGTAGACATTAACGTTTTTAATATGGTTGAACAATTTTGTGTGCATTTGTGTGGCCTGCAGGTGAACTCAGGGCTTGAGGGCTTTCTGAGCTTTTTTCCTCAAGGCTAGTGCTCTAGTCCTTGTGCCACAACTCAGCTTCTACCTTGTTTTATAAACTCAGATTTTGTGCTTGTTGAATTTCCTTGCTCAGAGCTCTCTACCTCTTATCCCATGTCCACAACTCAGCTTTTTTGGTGGCTAATTGGAGCTAGTCTTGTAGGCTTTTCTGTCTCGGGTGGCTCTATTCCTTGATCTTCACATCTCAGTTCATGAATATCTAGACTTAGAGGCAAACACCATCTTTGGCTGTTTCTTTACTTTTATGTCTGTTGCAGCATAAAACAAGATGAAATTTCAAGTGCTCAGCTTTACAAAAATATGTCTACTTCTATGTGGACCAGTATGTATATATAAAGAGGATACTAAGCACATTCCTTGGCTCACCACTGCTATGAGCATTCTTTACAATAACCTAGCAGTATTTTATCTATATGCACATGTATGCTTGCATGTTTGAATGTGTGGATATATACAAACATCCATATATGCACATAAACAGAAACTTAGTTTGGAGGCAGGATCTTAGTATGTAGGTTGGGTTGCTCTCAAACTAGCGAACTTCCTGACTTCACCTCTTAAATTAAAATTATAAGCCTACTCAATCACAATTGGTTTACTGTTATTTGAAATGAGTTCACTGCCATCCTCAAATGAATAGTGACTTAATTAAATACGCCCACAACCCTATTACATCTAAGAGCAATTTTTTTTTTGCGGGGGGGGGGGTTCCCAGTCATGGGGCCTGAACGCTGGGCCTGGGCGCTGTCCCTCAGCTCTTCAGCTCAAGGCTAGCACTCTACACTTGAGCCACAGCACCACTTTCGGCTTTTTCTTTTTATGTGGTGCTGAGGTATCGAACCCAGGGCCTCATGCATGCAAGACAAGCACTCTACCACCAAGCCACCTTCCCAGTCCCTAAGAGCAATTCTTAAAAGTGAATTTTGCCAGGTGCTGGTGGCACACACCTATAATCCTACTCAGAAGGCTGAGATCTGAGGATCATGGTTCAAAGCCAGCCAACACAGAAAACTCTGTGAGACATCCTATTTCCTATAAACCACCAGAAAATCAAAAGTGGCATTGTGGCTCAAGTGGTAGAGCAATAGCCTTGAGCTTAAGAGCGGCAGGACAGTGCTCAGGTCAAGTTCAAGCCCCACAACTGACACCTATGTGTGCATTTTGCACATGTATACACACTATATTAATTTCTATACATCACAAATATCCGATTTTAAGGCTTGAACTCACTGCCTCAGGGCTGTTCCTGAGCTTCTTTTCCCAAGGCTACTGCTCTACCAGTTGAACCACATCTCTAGTTCTACTTCCCACATTTGTGGTGATTATTTGGGGATAAGAATCTTATGGAATTTTATTCTGAGGCTGGTTTCAAGGCTCAATC